GTCCCTATTTATCTACTTGCACCCGGGGGTGCTTTCGAACTGCTAGGTTGGCAGACGCTGGGACCGAGCAACAGGAGCGCACCCCGCCGCGGGGATTCGAACCGCCGACCTTTCGATCGGCAAGCCCTAGGCGCTGAGGCTTTTACCCACAGCGCCACCCGCTTCCCTAAAAGGGACCTAAAAGCATCCTACATTTCTCGTGCAATCTCTTGCCCTTTGCCCCTATGGCTACTTTGCAAGCTTTGGGGTTCTTCCAGTACACGATGGGCAAGTCCGACACACAAGCACACATGCCTGGTTATTATCCTCACATTCTCTTGCTTTCGCCCACCAGCCTCTCAAATATTCATTAAGGCTCCTGCGAAGCCATCCTGCTTAACTGGGACCTTAGGGAAATTATAGCCTTTCTAGAGCAGGAATAGGGTATCCTGTTCTTCAACGAGTGAATAAAGTAATCTGGTGTAAAGAAAGAGGAACCGTCGTCGCTGATACGGTATTTCATTCCCCTTGGGTTGTCAATTGACACACGCAGACATCTATAACCCTGGCCTGGCTTGTTCTTGTGCCTCAAACAGCAGGCTGGAGGTGCAGAAGTCAGCAGATGGAGGTTTTTCACAGCAAGGAAATAAACTTGCTAATGTCTGTGCATCAAACTACTATTTAAAGGCACAGATACTGAGGATGGCTGAGAAGTTGGGAGCCCCGAACTGAATTTTGATGCTGTCTCTTTGCAGTTTGATGCCGTGTTGCCTAGAGAATACTGAAAAAAGAAACAGTGCAACCAGATATAAATTTTTAGCATTTCAGTCTTGGAAAGAACCGATGTTCTCCTCTCCCTGATCTTTCCCATTCCCTGGTATGATTGCCGTATTTTTGTCTTATATCTGCTCCAGTGCCTACAACAAGCAGGCTGAAGCTTTTCCTCCATGCTAGGAAAAAGCTACATGTGTTAAATCTCTGTGCTTGCAATTCTGTGCATGCTTTTCTATGCAAGGCCCAGCAGGATTTCCTCCCAGCTAAAGACCCATAGGAACAGGGAGCATGTATCGGGGGGGGGGGTGCTATAGGCACAGAAGAGCAAGAGAAAGGGGGCAGGATATGGTAGGGGGAAATGCAAAATTGCATTTGTCACCTTAAGTTCTTCTTCATGTACCCTCTCAAAGGAAAGTGTGGAACTGGCCTTTTAAGTGGTGGCTCCCCGTTTGTAGAATTCTCTTCCTATGAAAGCACCCCTGGCACTATCACAGTCTCTTTTTAGGTGACAAGCAAAAACATTATTAGTAACATGGAGGCTTATGGCTTTTAGTTGAAAGGGTAGTTAGATATGTCAATGGCCTTTGTTTTGTACATCCAGTCAAAGACAACTATGGGGTTGTGGCGCTCATCTCGCTTTCAGGCTGAGGGAGCCTGCATTTGTCCACAGACAGCTTTCTGGGTCATGTGGACAGCATGACCAAACCACTTATGGTGCAATGGAACACCATGATGGAAACCACAGAAACACCATTTACCTTCCTGCCACAGTGGTGCCTATTTATCTACTTGCACTGGCGTCAGTGGTAGAACTAGCTGTTTGGGCACCCAGAGTGGCACACATGCCATGCACCTGGGGGGCGGGGCGAGCCGCCCAGGCGGGTGATTGGCGTAGCAATTGGCATGCAGAGGGGTGATCAGTGTAGTGATTGGTGCCCATTGGGGGCGATCGAAGTGGTGATTGGCGCCCGGGGGTGATTGGAGCAGTGATTGGATCCCAGGGAGGCGGCATGGCAATCCGCTCAGGGGGAATTTTGTCACACACACCCCCAGGGATGACACCCGGGGGCCAACCGCCCCGACCCCTCTTCCTATGCCCCTGACTGGTGTGCTTTTGAACTGCTAGGTTGGCAGGAGCTGGGACAGAGCAACGGGAGCTCACCACGTTGCAGGGATTCAAACCGCCGACCTTGGCAAACCCCAGAGGCTCAGTGGTTTAGACCACAGCGCCACTCGCGTTCCAAAATCCTGTAGAGCTGCTGCCCTCAGTGTAGACAGTACTGAGCTAGGTGGATCAATGGTACAACTCATTATAAGGCAGTTTCCTCAGTTCCTACATGCAGAAGACCTACATTTCCAAGGCATCCCTCCTCCTCCTCCATCTAAAGATGTGACAAATTGGCTTACGGAGATGGCAATATGTGGTACAACAAGGTCTCTTGATCAGTCCACAAAATGGTGTCTCCCTCAGCTACATTATTATACAAGTTATCTTTTTTCACACTTTCTCCCCCCCCCCCTTTTGGCAGTTCTAGTTCAATTTAATAAGGAAAAAGAGGGGCCTCTCGCAAGAGTTGATACGAAGGCGGTGACAGCTTTGGAAATCAAAGACTCCATGCCACGCAAAGTTCTTTTCCAGAAGCAATTTAGCTTTGGATTGAAGGGAGAAAAGCCATCTCTAAGCAGCCAGTGATCCGGTTGCATTCATATCGCACCACTCTTCTCCAGGCCCGTACACAGAACGATTCGTGACAAATATGATGGTTAACATATGCATTGTTAGATGAACAATGACCACGAGGTTCCAACTAAACGCCACCCCACGATTTTTTGCTGCCTGAGGCAAAGAGCAAAATGGTGTCCTCCATTTAAGAGCTGCTCAACAGTGGAACGGACTCCCTCAGGAGGTAGTGGGCTCTCCTTCCTTGAAGGTTTTTAAGCAGAGATTGGATGGCCATCTGTCATGGGTGCTTTAGCTGAGAGGGGGCTAGACTGGATGGCCTTTAGGGTCCCTTCCAACTCTGCAGTTCTACAATTCCCTGTACAGAAGTTGACTGGCAGTTGAGTCTGCTGAAACTGAGGCTGCTGAAGAGACCAGAGACCATCTTGGCTGTGAGTCCTGGAAGACCTGCTCCCTGCTTTGCGGGCTTTTCCCACCTGGGGTTGGTAGTTATTCCTGGTAAGTTATCAACAACAAACTTTTGTGCTCATGAACAGCAGCACCAGTACTGCCATCTGACCAAAACCCGATTTTTCTTTTAAAATAAAAATAGATCAAAATATTTTTTAAAAAAAACCTCACATGTTTCTAGACCTCATGGTGGAGTAGATTGTCTTGCATGTAAGCAAAGCTATATAGGCACAAGACCAGTGTTTGGAGTGGGTGCTTTTCTGCTGCATGCAAGCTGAGGCGCTGGCGTTGTCTCACGATTCCCGCAACTTGTACATGTGGTTGTGATCACATATTTGCATGCAACGAAAGTAAAAGTTGCATCCAACAAAGTTATATCCAGAAGAGACCCATACAAATGAATGGGCAATACTAGTCTAGGCCCATTAAGTTCAACGGGGATGGTATTCAGTCCCAACAAATTGTAGCGATGGCCACCACCACAGATGGCTTTCAAAGAGGACTGGGCAGGTTAATGGGAAACGAAGCCATCAGTGACTACTAGCCAAAAAAGCTATGTTGCACCCCATCTGTTGTGAAGGGAATCACAGGAGAGAAGAGTGCTGTTGTGCTCAGGTCCTTCTGGTCAAATCTGGGTGCCCACTGTGAGAACAGGACAGAGCCGGCCCACCCATGAGGTAAGCTGAGGCAACTGCCTCAGGCAGCAAGTGTTAGTATTCCTGATCTATGATTGCAGTCATGGGATTTTTGTCTATCACATGACGGTGTATGTTTTGATTCCACAAAGTGGGAAGTGATAGAGACAGGATGTTTGTGTTACTGTGTTCCGTGAAGTGGGGCTATTGTCCTTTGTTCTTTTTCTCTTTGCTGTCTGATGCTAGAGAGAGAGGGAGCCATGTTGCAGTGCTCCGTGCGTCTTTATATGTAAATAAAGTAGATTTGCCAAATTGCTGAGTTGCTGAGGTCTGTTACACAACTGCGCAAACTCTGCAGATCCCTAAGTGTGCTGATGTCGGTTGGCACCAGTCGCTGTGATGTTCGGGCTGAAGAAAGCTTTTGAAGCTCCTGAATGATCGACCAGGAGGGAGGGAGCATGCCAGTTGAGCATGTGTCTCTACCAGGGTCCTACTCGAGTGCAGGCTGAACTCCTGACAGCAAGATCCACAGGGACAGATTATACGGCCTCCAAGAAATGCATCACCCATTGCTACAGCGGCACTGACAGCAGCGATGCACCCTTGGATCTGTTCCCCACATGCTGCCTCTGTAGGAGCCTCTGTAGGAGGCTTCCTCAACCTCGGCCCTCCAGATGGTTTGAGACTACAATTCCCAGCATCCCTGAGCACTGGTCCCGCTAGCTAGGGATCATGGGAGTTGTAGGCCAAAAACATCTGGTGGGCTGAGGTTGAGGAAGCCTGCTCTTGACCAATAGGAGAGGTGCTCACTGATCTCTTCTGACCCTTGATCCCAATGTAGATCTCCCCCCTGCACTTGTTTTGGATGTAGATCTTCACTCACCCCTTATTCCACAGCAGGGAAGGCTGTGCCATTTTGTGGTCTGCCTCAGATGCCAAAATGTATTGGGAACAGGATTCTGGACTAGTTGGACCATTGTCCAGCAGGGTTCTCCTTCTGTTCCAACCTGTTCAGCTTTCAGCCTTAAGCTTCTCTTACCTTTGCTCTTCTCTCCACCCTCCATCACACACACACACACACACACACACACACAGAGAGAGAGAGAGAGAGAGAGAGAGAGAGAGAAGGAAGTAGATACCATCTCCAAATTTTGCTGCTGATGTGCCCAAATTCCCATCTGAGCAGGGAACTACACAGCTGGCAGACTTCTCCTTTCTTCCGCCTCCCTTTGCACATAAGAGCCTCTCACTGTTCTTGCACCCTTGAACCAGCTGCTGTCTTCCCTCCCTCCTCCCTCCCACTTCCCTGCCTCCAACCGGGGACGGGGTGGGGGCGCAGCTGCGGTTGCAACCAGCCTGAGCTAACAGCAGGTGGCTGCCCGGTGACTGACAACCCTTCCATGACGTCTTGCAGGTGGGCAGGGCGGCGGGAGGCGTTCTTTTTGCATGACTATAGAGGCAGTGACTGGTAAGTGACAGAGGGGAGCTTATCAGTACACAGAGAGAGTGAGTGGAAGGAGGGAGGGAAGGGAAGGAGAGGCAGAAAAGAAAGCCGAGCTGTGTGTGTGTGTGTGTGTGTGTGTGTGTGTGTGTGTGTGTGTGTGTGTGTGTGCGCGCGCGCTTCTGTCTCTTTATGGCCGGTGCTTTTAAATATGAAATGCACCTTAGGTGAGGCTTCCCTGCGAGAAGGGAGATAAGAGATCAGGACCATCCTTCCTGCCTGGGCTCATTCAGCTGGCTGGGCTATTTCCCCCATAGGTGAGTAGCTCCATTCTTCCTTCCACAGGGATGCTGGTTCTCAATTAGTTCCGAGGAGCCTGTGTATATGTGCGCGCGCGGCTGCTTGATCTGCGCTCAGGAAGAAAAGGATCACAATAATAATCAATGAAATGAAATCCATAGCCAAGAAGATCCTGGAGGGGCATATAGAGGAAAAGGAGGGGGCGAAGGAAGGGAAGAGATTCGGAGGGGCTTTGCTCGCCTCTGCGCCTCTTTTTTATCGGTCCTATAACGCTCTCCTTCTCATTGTCCTAGAGAGGGGGGGGGGAGCTGGTCCTCCGCCTTTTAGTCCTAGCCGGATTGTTCCAGGGGGGTGGATGGGAGCTGGTGGAGGCATCGGCGGCTGCCTTGGCTGCCTGGGGTTCTTTCAGGACAGGGTGATGGGAGGGAGCGAGCGAGGGGAGGCGAGCAGCAAAGAATGAATGACGAGACGAGTTTGGCTGGGGAGGCATCTTTTCCTCGCTCTCGCTCCCTCTTTCTCTCCACTGCCAGCATCTGAGCCAGGCAGCCCCGATTCTTTTTGCGCGTTTTGGTCGGGAGGAAACCCCTCTTCATTCAGAGGGTCTTGATTTTAATGGAAAGCCCCTCCTAATTCAATGGGACTTCACTCCCTAACTCAAAAGCGCGCAGAATTGCAGCTTTGGGGATTGCTTAACCGTGGACCTGGGAGAGAATGTATTGTTGCGTTTGTGAAAGGCAATGTCTTTCTTTCTTTCTTTCTTTCTCTTTCTTTCTTTCTTTCGCCCCTTCCCCTCTTGCTTTATATTGCACTGAACCAGGAGATTTGCACTAATGTCCTCCTTGCGCCAAGTGGGTAGGCGCCGGAAGAGGGTTTTCCCCGGGGCCACCTTTCCACTTCGGATTCTGATGCCCGCTTAGCGCTGGGTGAGCAGGTGGGAAAAGAGGCGAGGCGGTGCATCCAAGCGAAAGGGCTGTAGCTCAGTGCTAAAACATCTGATTTGCGTGCAGAAAGTCCCATGTTCAGGTCCTTGGTTTCTCCAGGTGCGTAGATAGACGCATGTCACAGTTCCTGGATAGCCGCTGTCAGCCATCAATAAATATTGATTGGCTTTTAAAAATCACATCACAAAGTCCAGTCTGAATAAGATTAAAATATTATTTGTGCCTTTCACAACTGAAGTGAGAAAGACTGTAGCTCAGTAGCTCCAAGTAGAGCTGGGAATGTCCCCTGTCTGGAACTCTGGAGAACAGCTGCCAGTCAGTGTAGACAATACTGAGTGAGATGGATCAATGGTCTGTTTCAATGTTTATTACTAAGAGCCCTAAGGAATATGACCAGGATCCTTTTCACGTGGTCTTGCATCCTCCTTTCCTAATTCTTTAGCCTTTACTATGCCATGAAGGCTGGTGATGGATGTTGGCACCTGTCTGTCTCGAGAGCAATGGAGTGCGCCTCGAGGGGTGAAGTCAAACCGCTATGTTAGCAGCACCAAAGTGACCTCCCTGGGGTGCAAGCCTGGGCAGAGTGTGTGGAGGTCCTGGGCTGCCCAGATGACAAGACCCCACCCCCTGGCCTCGCTGATGTGGTCCAAAGGAAAGCAGAGCGATATATTTGGCACCAGCTTGGCTTGCAGGAGTTGTGTATAAGGTACCATCCAACTGCTTTAGGGACTCCACTTAGGATTTGTTGTAGGGTTTACTCCTTTGCCATTTCTTCTCCTGAAGATGTCTGGCAAGGCAGCACAGGTTTAGGACCAGAGTTTTCCTTCTAAATGGACTGCCTTCTCAGGTGGATGAGCCCCATCTGCCCCTCACTTCCCTCTACAGCACATGCAGAAACCACCCTCCTCTTGACTGTTGGGTCTCCACTATGGGTCTCCACTTCCAAGGCAAGAAGGTGACTAGCTGTATGTTTTCTTGGACACAACAATAGTGTATTGCAGGGACTGGGATACACGATAACAACCTGATTCGAGAAAGACTGCTAATGGCTTGGGAGTTAACAGTGCAGTCCTAGGTAAAGGTAAAGGGACCCCTGATCATTAGGACCAATCGTGGCCGACTCTGGGGTTGCGGCGCTCATCTCGCTTTATTGGCCGAGGGAGCCGGTGTACAGCTTCCGGGTCATGTGGCCAGCATGACTAAGCCGCTTCTGGCGAACCAGAGCAGCACACGGAAACGCCGTTTACCTTCCCGTTGAAGCGGTACCTATTCATCTACTTGCACTTTGACATGCATTTGAACTGCTAGGTTGGCAGGAGCAGGGACCGAGCAATGGGAGCTCACCCTGTCACAGGGATTCGAACCACCGACCTTCTGATCGGCAAGTCCTAGGCTCTGTGGTTTAACCCACAGCGCCACCCTAAACCATGCCTATTCAGAAGTTAATTCCCAACAAGTTCAATGGGGAAGTGGGTGTAACGTTGCAACCTTAGAACAATGTAGGGGTGAACTGGGACTTTGCTGGTTCAACACTAAGCTCTGCGCTGAGCATTTTTCCAGAGGTCTGGGGGAATGAGCTGTCTGCCCCAGCAATTCATCTGCACTATGGAGGCAGTTCTAGGTTGTTTGACAGCAGTCTTGCCCGATCTGGGACTCTCCCCAGTCTGCAAAATTCCCCAGTCCTTTCTTCATGTCCTTCTTGAGTGGTTTTACCTGGCTGGAATGTGCCCTTGAACTCGGGCAATGCTTTTTGTTCGCCTGGATGGAGGATAGAGAGTTCTGTTTAGGAATCAGCCTACTGTATGAAGATAACATTTACATTTGCTGCTGCACTCACTTTTGCCTCTGCCCCTGCTCCCCGTCAGAAGGTTGCCAAGAAGGGAGTGGGTCCCTCGGTGTGGAAAAGATCCCCCACTTGAGCCGTAAATTCAGGGGTAGTCTACCTCTGAGAGCAAGTTGCTAGGGAACAAGATCAGGAGCGGTCCCCCATGCCCTTATCTCAGTTTGCTTCTTGCAGATCAGTTCTCACACCCCAGTGCCTAAGCAAATGTGTTCAGCGAGGTTACCCATTTAAAAAGTTAAATAAATGTACACCTGTATTCCACGTGGGACCTGGCAGGTATTGTACAGACATTAAACAGGAATCAAATTGCTTATGAAGTTGGCTGCAGACGCACCAGGCAGCAGTTTTAAAGAAGTCGAGTCACTGCTGCTTACCGGGAGGGAGAGTGGAAGAGGCGAGGTTGCAAGGAGGTCAGCGCTGTGCAAACTCACTGGCAGAACCCCTGGCAATTCCACAGCACCAACCAGCCCTGTCCCACTCTCTGCCTGGTAAGCAGAAGCAAACTGCCTGCCTGGAGGTCAGGTGAGTGTCATTGCCCAACTGCACCACCTGCCACTGTGTTTGGCTAGAGGTAGCCAACATGGGTGCTCTGTTGAACTGCAGCTCCCATGTCACTCCATGTTGCCCTGGACTAGAGCCACAAGGGTGCCTTAGCAAGCAGAGACAGGGTGGGCACCTGACAGAGTGGGCCCTAATCCATGAAAGCTTCTGCCACCACAAATCTTTCAGATGCCACAAAGGACTCCGTTGTTCTTGCTGCAACAGGCAAATGGGCACCACAGGCTTGCAAGGAATACTGGACTAGGTTGACCTCACTGTGCTCTGGCAAGCACTTCTTACGTTCAGAGGCCAGATTGTTTATGCAATGACTCCTGCGTATGGGACCTTTGCTTTTATAAATGAAATATATATGTAAGCAGACCTCTTGGGGATTCTCTTTCATTTTTTAAAGCAGACAACACAAGCCATCAACTAGTTACAACATTGCTGTTGCATTGGCGACTCCCAGACCACTCACGCCCCTGCCTCTATATATATATGATGTCTAATCCAGTCTCTCTCTCTCTCTCTCTCTCTCTCTCTCTCTCTCTCTCCTCCCTATGCTATAAGTCTGCTTTGCTTGCACATTGTTTTTCCTTTGCTGGCTCTCCTGCGCTTTAAAAGCCAGCGTTCCTATAAAACCAGACCTGATGCCTACAGCGTACAAATGCTTCTGTTGCAAATAACTGATTTACATTTGTATGAATGAATTCTGTTATGCTGTAAGTCTACGTAGCAGCTCGCCCATTGGCTGAATGCATCCTTTGCTGCGCTCATGCTTTCAGATCTACAAAAGAAGCCCTTTTGGTAGTCACCGCACCTAGTGAGGTCTGTGCTGGAGGGGGCTGTGGGAGTGTGTTCTCTGTGGTTGCTCCACACCTGTGGAATGACCTTTTGTCAGAGGTATATCATGCTCCAACACTGCTGCTTTCATTTCATCAGTGGGTGAAAGACGCAACTCTTTATCCAAGCCTTTGAGGAGTACCAGGAGATGGAGAGTCTGAGACTGCCTCATTTAGCTGCTGCCGCCGCCTGTGGTTTTTTAGTGTGTTTCCACTGCAATTTGATGAATGTTGTGTTTAGTCTAGCTTATTATTATTGTCAGTTGTCTGGTTTTCAATACCTATGCATTTACCTTCCTAGGACCTTTGGGCCAAAGGTGGATTATAAACGCTTGTAATAAACAGATTCATAAACGGCAGGTTTCCAAGGGAGCAACCTGTTTATTGAGCATTCGTTCTGTTTGATTTGTGGGGAGATTTGACGATGTTGGCTGTTTAAGGAGCATTCATTCTGATTTGTTTCCAGGGAGGTTAGTCAACATGGTTTCAAACCATTTCCCCATGGCTTTCCTTACTGTAAGCTTTTGAGGAAGAGGGGTTGTCGCGCAAGGCCTCCCAATGATCTTTGACTTCCCAAACCTGAATTTGCTGCCAGGGGACTGGATCCCACCTGAACATAGTGACAGTCCGGAACTGCATGGGCAGACTGAGAACACGATACCACACTCACCAAACCAGCACTCTTTGCATGCACCCAGGAGCATGGGATTTGGGTGCTGTTGCATGGCTTTCGATGCACAAACTCTATTGATATTGGTGCTCATTGACAAGCTGCCGCATACAAATTTGCCACTTAAACTGATCAAGTAGCAAGGTACTTATATGCACCCCAGACTTAAAAGGAGTTTACT